CGTATTCGTCTTGCCAACGGCTAGAAGCCGCTCGAACAGAGCGCGATAGTCCTCAACGTGAGACAGTCGGTCTTCAAAGTGCTTCAAGCTCTTGAAGACTTCGGCACAGCTGTATGCGACCTCGGTAAGATGGTCGGTGGAGTGCCGATGACGAGTAAATCTGTCTTCCAAAGCTCAAGGAGCATCGCGAGTCACCGGACGGCGATAGACCAAGTCGACATCGTCCGCCGCCGATTCTTCTCGATGAGAATGGTGGCGTCCCCTAACAGGTGGAACGCCTTGTGGGTCGACGACGTCAACAGGGTTGAGTCCACTATCTTGTGAAGTGGCGGGGATACCCAAACTCCTAAAACTCGTGAGAGCTTGAGGTGCCACTTTGGCAAGACTGCCCAGATGCCGTGGACACTAATGTTCAGAGAGATCATGACGCTCCGCATCGTCCCGCGCTTCTCAGCAATAGCCGGGGAAGCCGAAGGGCAATGAGCTGAGCTCAAGCTATGACCCTGAGCTGCTGTGGTTGTTGACTCGCCCGTGTGAGAAACCACAGAGCTCGCAGGGGCGTTATGATTTGTTCCATATGTCGCAGGGTGATAATTTGCAGGAAGTCAGCGTTGCACATTGAGTTTGGCAAGCTTAAATCCCCACCCATCGCTCAAAGAGCTCCCCATCATCTGCAGCGGTTTTGCCAGGGGCGAGCACCACAGGAATAGTCCGCATAGCGGGTACAGGAGTGCCTCCTCTTTGAGATCGAAGTCGAGCGCGGTACCTACCATTGGGATTTCATTAGGTGCCAAGAAGCGAGGTTGGAAAGCTTTCCGCTGGTCAAGATCTGCTTGTGTAGTGGCCGGGGGCCCGACTACGTAGACACCTAATGATCGAGTGAACGCGTCTTTCGCTTCAGTAGTGGGACCCGCCGAGCAGAAGCCGTATTCCACACAAAGGATCTAAGTCCTAACGTGGAAACAAGCACATGAGAGCCGCCCTGTGGGCAACCGCCAACTGCTGCTCCTGTGCCTCGTCGAGGCGATTGGTAATAATACCACTCCCCACGGAAGTCAAGAGATCGGATAACGGACACGTTGTCCGCAAGGTTCGAGCTAGGCTCACGTCGCGCCGTTGGCGCACCACGCCCTCTTCGTCTTCCCATGCTGGTAAAGGAGTATCAGACTCATAGTCGACTTCCTCCGAACCCTTGACGAGAGAATCCGTCGCCCGTGGTGGGCGCGGTGTGTGGCACCCAGTTGCCGAGGGCTTGGGATGTACTATCCGTGAAGCCGCGGGCGTACTATCCGGAGATGCGCCCCGTGCAGAAGACGAAGAAGGGCTCAACCCGCGGGCGCCCTCGGAACCAGCTAGGCTAGGTGTTTTTCGTGTCAAAGACACAGGGATCATTGAGCGGGAAATGCTTAAAGATGGATCTAGGGACGTAACGGTGTCTCAGACACGCGAGCTTCGAACAAGGCGACAGTAAAATGGGAATTGTGGGTATTCACAATTTTGGTGCGGGGAGTGTAACGGGTTTACACGTACCTTTGTATGAAGCGTTGGATCTCACAGAATGGTGTGACCGTACAAAGGTGTAGATAACACAAGTTGGTGTAATCACACAATGGTGCGGCTACACAGTATTATGAAGCCACTCCGTGGCGGGACTGCCAGTAGTTATGATTATAAATTAGGTTTAACTATTCAATTGTAAATTAAAGGTTCGAGATATAGGCGGCAACGTGCCAGAGATTGGAGTATCCGAGTGGGTGAATACCGAAGGTGTATCGGACACGAGTCGCGAACATGGCTCGCGTGCTGAACGAAAGGGCACGTAACTCACTGAGTGCCGCTCAAGTATCGAAGCAGTCGCTGCATGCCATGCGTGTCATAATCGGCCGAGGGCTGAGGCATCGTGGGCGTGATGCACGTGGAGTGGACGTAAATCCCTGAGCGCTGCTCACGCTTTGAAGCTTTTTGCTGCATGCCAAGAGTGACATGATCGGTTGATACTTGAGCATTGCTCAGTGGGTTATGTGCTTCTCCATGTTCATCCCGCGAGCCATGCAAGAGACTCTTGTCCAATACGCCCTCGATGTTTGAAGCTCGGATACTCCGATATTTAGCACATTTACCGTCACTGTACTGTGCCCGCGCCAAAAGCGCTTCTGCTTCCTAGCGGAGGTGGGTTCATGACTCACCATAGCTTCACCAGGAGACGTACGCGTAGCGCCCAAGATCTTCGACCTCCAGTCGATCCATGGCTCATGGGGTTCCAACAACTCCATACTAAGGAAAGGTCATACCTTGAATCCAAGTCTAAGAGTCAGCAGCGTTCCACGTTATCGGAGTCAAGAAACTTCACAACGAGGTGCACAGGGATCCTCGGCATAGTGCCACATGTCTTCGTCGCTAAGCGAACAGTGACGGTGTCGGTTAGCCGCGCTTTCAGCGCCTCAGCATACAGCTGACTTCCTTCGATCGTGGAGCGTTAAGCATAATTGCCCGACACCCCGTAATCGATTAGGATCTTCCACGGCTTCTTCCAGCCCTTTACAGTCGCTTTTACGACCAGCAAGCCCGGCTTGCACACACGTTTCGTGTTCAAGAGCACGGGGCTCTTTGGGGCTGGGCTCTGCTGACCTTTATCTATTTGAGGCAAAACAGAACTCAGTTCTTCTTCAGGAGGGCACTCAGCACCTACTGAGTGTTTTTGTTTCCCGGCGACAAACTAGACTGGTTAGAAACGTCGGTTCGGCAAAGTTTATGCGCCTTGCGCAGGGAATAACCTGTCCAAAGGAAACGGGTGTCAACACAGACAATACACCGTCAGCTGTTCAAACGCTGCTCGACAGCTCGGGGCTCTCCCTCTTCATTCTCAGCATAACTGAGATCGATGGGATTAGGCCCGCTCGACGAGCTCTGAGAATGTGCATTCCAACCAAGTCGTACCGACTTAAAGTTGAATGTGCCATTCAATGCCACATTCACTGCTTCTTCAAACGAAGAGAAGACTTCTATTCTAACCACGTCAGTGCGGGGGCCCTCCATAAACACGGTCGCTGGGACCGTCTCGGGGAGAGGATCGGCTGCCATACGGGCAATGATGATTCTCAACACTTGGACAAATTCCACCAACTCTTTCTTGTCTTGTCGGGCAGCAAGGAAACGCGATCGCACGCGATATGCTTGATTTGGCGGCGAGAACACTCGCAAAATGTCTTAACGTTTGGGTCGGGAGAAATAATCCGTCGTCGACGTTGGCGTCATGGACGCAGTCGACGCTGACAGCTTCTACTATAAGTGCTCTAACAGAACATTTTCATAATTTGAAAAGCCTCTAGGCGCGCGCTTATCGCCTCGGGCCTTTGCGCAAGAAAGTGCTCCACGCCCTCAGGGTCCAGCAGGGACAACAGCTTTTTAAGCCCGTCCTGCATGCCCTAGGGAAAAAAGAGAAGAAGTTGTCGTAGCTACTCAGGTCACCGACTTTACGATCTTTATAAAATTCAGTGCGAGCGCAGCGGATTGCAATCCGCTCCCTCTAAGAGTTTTAAGAACCTGGTCCAAGGTAAGTGAACTCTTACGTTCAAAGTTTAAACTGTTTTAGTTCTGGCAGAGCCCCCAATATCTAGTATCCCAGGTTTTCCGTATTGATATAGTGATACATTATTTATATACTGAAACCTAATGAAAGTAGTGATGTGCATTTTTACTGGCAATCTTGTCACATGGTGGCTTCTTGTTATGGTGTAGCCACACCACAATGTGATTACACCAACTTGTGTAATTCACACCTATGTATGGTCGCACAAGATTGTGCGACCCACCCTTTCTCAAAGGGCACGTGTAATCCCGTTACAGTAAGTACAGCGTTAGCCCAAGGCTAATAAACTCTTCCGTATAGAATGTTTATTGATTCTCTCGATTTTATTTGCGGCAAAGACGCCTATATCTAAATCTATATGTTTCCTATCCATATAATGAAATCTAATTAGTTGTATAACTACTGGCAGTCCAGCCAGAACTGACTTCTTATTTAAGTGTGGCTATACCATTGTGCGGGTACACCATTTTGTGTGACCCACACCCTTCATACAAGGCCACGTGAAACCTCCGTCACACATTGCCAGAATCGTCATTTTAACAAATGTGTCTCCAGAGCGGGTGTAGGTATATAAATCCAGTAGTTCTGGGAATCTCGAAACATAAACCGCATCCCATTACAATGTGCATGGTATGGTCAAGTCACTTTGAACGAGAGACCACCAGAGTGATTGTAATTATTAAAAACAGGTCACGCTTAAAGTTCCCTAACGTAATGTGAGCCGGTTCCATGTCACCGAACCAATGTTACAGCAATAATCACGGTAGGTTTTATACACCATGTGGGACCGAGTTCCAAGTTCCACAAAAAAGATGCAGCACTGTCTCTCTATCTCTTCTATCTCTTCTTTCTCTTCTATACTCTACCCCTTATCTATAAATTTAATATATTAATATATAAAAATTTAGGAACTCGGAACCCGACCAATGTCAATGTAACCATAGTCCTTCTAGTTATTGTGAGAAACCACCCTCACATTTTCTATGATTTTATAATACGGTTTAGAATGTAAGTGAGTGTAGGTCTCATGTTGACGTATACAGAATGTATCCACGTTCAAGGAGAGATGATACATATATTCATACTTGTTAAAAAATAGGCGTATCATAGAAGGAACGACATGCATACAAGAAATAGTGGAAGAAATAGGAAAGTTTATATATATCGTAGGAATCAGTCTAACAAATAATCTCACTTCTTAATTCGCCAACTACCGTCCAACACCTCATAAGTGCGAATGATCCTTACAAGTGGTAGCACTTGTTGGTTGCCTCTCGTCGTCAATTTCCTCGTTGGGTGTCCCTGAGTATTTGCTGCGCCTTATTTTGCCCCATCCGGTATGGATGAGCTGTGGAGTATTATCGAGTGTGTGGTTTTTAATATCTACCCGCAATTCTGATAGCAGACAAAGTCAATCAGTTGGGTATTGAGGTTGGACCCAGCTTGATACTTCAAAGCAGTTAATCCATTTCGGAAGGTTAAGTCGTGTACGCACAAAACGACCCACACCTCCCCACTCATTAACTTGAGTCAGTAGCTTCGGTGTGAGAAAGTAGGCCCAAATCAGTCGTGCACGTTCTATGGGCAAGAAGCGCCGTGCTGATATCAAATTTCATTTGATTGTGAAAAAGTTTCGCCTTCAGCTCTGGTGACAAAACTTCAAACACCGCGCAAGATCTCCTCTCTTCCATCAAGACATCTCACCAACTAGCTTCAATTCTATCCGAACCTCTAACAAAAGAAATGATAATTCACTCAAATCAAGGCAAGTCTTTTTCCGATCCCCTTCCTGCAAGAAGTCGATACTCTACTCCAAGAAGTCGAAGGATTTTAGCGAAAGATTTATGATTTAAGAGAATTGTATAAAGCTAAAAATTATATTTTTTCATTTGGTCGAACCATCGTCATGCAACATCTTTTACAAGTTATGGACAAACAACAACAATTATCGACAAATTAAGCCAGAAACAACTGGAGCCCAAAGTTTAAATTTGCCAACTTATACTGGAAAAAGTGAAGAGTCTGTCCATCTTTATTGAACTAACATAGACAGTTATTTCTCGGCGCAAGAAACGAAATGAAAAGAGGATCTTTATCGAAACAAATGATTGAGTTCTTGGAAGCATTTTACGTGGAGCTGCCGCACCGAGACTTGTACTTCACCAGTCTGAAACTAAAACGGTGACACATTTTTCGTTGCTTTGGACAAAGAGTTTGTACCAGCTGATCTGCAATATCGTCTACGTGATGAATTACATAGAATGAAGCAAGAGAGTCGCAAAGACTTATCAGAATACATTGCCAAATTTCGCCGACTCATTTCGCAAATTTAAGACATGACGAAGATCGATCAGATGATATTTTTTTCAAAGAGGATTACGGCAAAGAACTAGAGAAGAAGTTCAACATCTACGTTGCGAGACTTTAAACAAGGTCATAGTCGCGCTCGATTTTGAGCTTGCTCATTTAAGTAATTGAAGTGATTATTCAGGTCAAACACCACGTTATCCACGTTCCTGGCCCACAACCAGTGATACCGCCATCTAATGAACCTGGGCCTATAAATATTGACCATGCTTGCCTCTTTTAAAGGGCGTCTCGTTTTCAAAATCTTTATCAGAATCGCCGTACAAATAAACTAAAGTTTTTTTATTGCAAGAAACTCGGTCATACTATGCAATAATGTTTTAAGCGGAAGAACAGACAACAAGGCAACCATCATCAAAATAATCGAAATCATAATACTCGCGCCAATATTTATTACTTCTAAAATGAGTCTGTTCGTGTAGAAACGATTGCTACAGCGTCTCATCAAGCTATCACAACACTAAGCAAAGGTGAAATTGCAAACTATAGTAGCAAAGATCTCATCAAGTGTTGATGATCGTGCTGTCAGTATTATGTTGGATTCAGGCGCCACGTGCAATGTGGTTAAGCCAAGTAAAGAAAGGGTTTGCAGATTTATCCTTTGAAAGAAATCAATTTTTAGATGTTCCGGTCATGGAATGGCCAATGACCAGTAGTTCACATGACGTTATTTTGGGTACACCTTGGTTTACAGCTCATGAACCAATTATCAACTGGCGTACGCATCATGTATCATCTAATAGCAGCAATGTTCCATCTAATTTGGCATTTGAACATCATGTAATATCAGCTTTAAGAAATTAAAGAAGGCACAATATGAAGAACTATATGGTATCAAAACTTGCCAAGTCTCCGATGTGGAAGAGCCAAGACAGCCTCAACCCACAATCATTGCTGGATTCATTTAAATATGGGTTTTCAAGAAATTGCCAGATGCTTTACTATCACATCGTTCGGTAGATATTGAAATGACCATGAGACCAGGAGCTCAGCCAAGCAATCGATCACATTTTCGTCTATCTCAAGTGGAACAAGATGCGTTACAAAAGTTTGTTGACGAAATGCTATTAGGCAGTTAGTTTGAATTATCTGACTCGCCTTGGGTATCCAGTATATTTCGTATACCAAAGAAGGATCCGAAGACAGGGGTTTTGATGCAATTTTAACTATTATCGACAAATTGTCATAACGTACCAAGTACGCTGCAGTGCATGCGAATGATGACGCACCTACAACAGCCAAATCATTCTTTGAAGCTGTAGTTCGACACCATGGCTTACCTGAAGTGATCATCAGTGACATAGATAGCAAGTTCACTGCACCATTTTTGAAAATCTCTGATGACAATCATGGGTGTTCGACTTAGTATGACAACAGCACATGAAGCTCAAGCTGATAGACAAACTGAACGACAAAAGCTAGTCGTCGAAGATGCACTTAGACGTATGGTGTCCTATCAATGTACAGATTGGACAGATTACTTAGGCACCATAGAATATGCTCATTCGACACTTTTCAGCGCATCCACGGAGTATTCTTCCTTTGAGATTGATACCGGGAGAAAGAAACGCTCTCCATGGCAAAAAGAGTTAAGAACAAACGATGCTAAAGTGAAAATTGATGTACAGACTAAAGAGTTTGTGGAAAAAAGTCAAAAAATAATTGAGCAAGCACGAAAGAGCCCACTCAAAGCTCAAGCCACTCGAAAGCAATCAGAAGAGAAGAGTTGACCAAATTGAGTTTAAAGCAGGAGATCTAGTCTCGTAAATAACCAAAGAATCTTTCTTAAGCATGCTGCCAAAGATATGGGAAACAATAGAGCGAAGTTTGCAGCAAGAAAAGCTGGGCCTTTTGAAATCATCAAGATGAAAAATTCCAACCTGGCAAAATTCAAGTTGTCACAAAGCATAAATAAATTAATTCCAACTTTTAATGTTGATGTGTTGTCAAAATATGAACCAACACCCGAAAAATCCCTTAGTCGTCCTAACCTCAAAGCGTCCAAAGTCTGTGAACAATGACTCAGTGGATCGGCTTCAAATCATTCAGCGTCTTTTGAAGAAGAGATACTTCAGAATGGCTTGTCCATTGGCATAATAAAACAGAAGAAGAAGCTAGCTGGGAAAAAGAGAAATATATTCGACACATAGCTCATTGCAATCGATCTCGTCACCGACTTTAAGCAGCGCCAACGAGAAATCAAATCAGGGAGGATGTAAGGAACCATACCCACATGTTCTATGATTTTAGAATATGTTCTAGAATGTAAATGAGTGTAGGTTCATGTTGACGTATACAAAATGTATTCACGTTCAAGGGGAGATGATACATATATCCATTGTAGTTAAAGAAACGCGACATCATAGGAGGAAAGACATGCATACAAGAAACAGTAGGAAGATATAGGATAGTTTACATATAGCATACGAATCAGTCTAACAAATAATTTTACTTCTTAATTCGTCAACTACCGTCCAACACCTCATAAATGCCGAAGATCTTACAGTTATTAAAATCTGGCTCCAATTCGAAACACAGTTTTGAAATCTCGGAACTCAGCAAAAACCCTCAACTGAGGTATATTTGAAATTGTAATCAGTCACAGAAGTAAGCAGAAGCATGGAGGAGACGCAGGCTGATTGAACAAATAATAATCTTCAAGTAATCGACTAGTATTAAGTGCAAGTCAGATTTGGTAATTTCTTCGTGAAGATCCTTTGCCAACAGTGGATTTGCTAAGCTGAATGTCTCCATATCATCTGAATCATGTTCCCATTTGCAGACGGTATTTGCAAACATGTGTAAAAAAAAAATCGTATTCAGAAGGTCAGACAGCTTGGTGGAACATGGCTCTTTGTTTTTAACGAACTGGTTTTGCACCTCGAAGAAGCTTTTTGGATCATAGATCACAAAATTATCGTTCTCTGTTGGCTTGCGCTTGTAGTAGGTGATATCTGATCTTTCAAAGACTTAAAACTCGTGGATAAAGTAGAATACAAATCGTTTCAGCAAATGAAGAGTCTTGAAGTTTGAAGTTTTCAACATCCTCCCGAAAGTACTAAAATTATAATCAAAGTCACGATTTAGCTAGTTCTCGATCACTAGATACTTCACCACCCAATACTCAAGCTTATTGATCTCGAATGATGTACTAACCATGGCTGAACGCATGTCGTCATTTGTTCGACCAGTTTAGTTAGCGTTGCCAACTTCCGCTCAGATTAGAGTGTCAATCTGGAATCTTGATCAAGTGTAGAAACCTCAAATTTCCTCAAAGTGGATGTTTTCCTTGGCTCCTTGGTTTCATATTCATATTTTCATTGCTTGTGTGCAACAGAACCACAGCCAGCAGCAACCCTTTCAATTTGCCTTCGTTCAGTGATGATTATACTCAAAGCAACCATCGAATTCTTTGGTGGCAAACACCTTGTTGAAACGCTCTACTTTTTGTTTGAGCACACAGAGATAGGTCTCGCGCATCAAATACCAATCAGAATGAGATTGAAGAGCAAAGAATCCAGCGTGATACGTTTTCGTTGTTGCAGAACCGATCACTTCGAGTCATCATGCATAATTTATGCAATCGCTCCTCGTAGGATTTGGTTGCAAGGAAGTATTTCACACCGCATTTAGCGTTTGCTTGTTCAAATGATTCACGGTCTTCATTGAGTTTGAAGAAGAAGTTGTCAAGTATCTGCAATTCATCCAGGCCATTGAATTGATATTGTAAAAGGTACGTTTATCCGTCATTGCCAAAAGTCAGGTGTGACATCATCAATATGCTTGTAGTCGACGGAATCACCATTTGCGTGCATCTTCGACTTGATTCAATCACTTGGTAAAAATTCGCTGAATCTCTTAACTGGGGTTGATCGTATTTATCAACTAATTTGATGTGCTGAATGCAATGCTCAATATAAGTTTCTTCAACAGACCTGGTCATCGTTGGTATATCAACTACTGGTTCGGCAACTGCAGGTTTAGCAGCTACTGGTTCAGCAACTGCTGGCTGGTACTTTCCGTGGTGTCGGTACTAATCGACTTTTGAGCCGCACTGTTGACTTGCCTTTGGGTGGTATTCTGGAAAGATGTACTTGCACGTTGTTATTTCTATATATTTTAACGCTCAAGATGAGATTTAGTTTCTATGTGTTGAGAAATATTTCGTCAGATGCGATTATCAACTAAAATACTAGAGTCTCCCCCGAGAGAACAATGAAGTCATTGGTGTGTGTGGTGATCGGAGACGGCAGCGTATTCGTTGTCGATATAGACGAGCGCAAGAATGTTGGAATCGTGTCAAGTGCGAAGCGGGCAGAATGACGCTTTACGTTGCGTACAAGTGGGGGGATCGGCTCACATCGGATAAGGGCTGGTTACCGTCGACCCGGACAAGAAGATTTTAAAGCAAAGTCCGACTCTTGCTGGAATCAATGCGATCACGAAGGAATCCAGAGAGATGGGTTCAGCAGATGAGATTGGTGACGTGTTTGCAAATGCGCCGACAAAGAAGGTAATTCAAGTGCTGGTGAGACTACCGACCTAAAAGACACACGAAATGGAGTGTATAGGAGTTGTCTACTGTGGATCTTCAAGTTCAGTCAAAACTTTGGGAGTCAGTTGTCAGGGTCTCATCCGAAGGTGTTTGCGCTGGAACAGCGCTGGTTGTTGATCGGACGGCAACAGATAAGACTTTACTGCGGACTTAAGTGTTGAATCCAAGAAAGAAAGCAAGCAAGCGATGTCTATGACTATACCCCAAATTGAAACCAACTGGAACGAAGAGAAAGGATCCCGCTGATGCAAAGCAACCAAGTCGCAAATCCCCACGCTTGTCATCACACAAGTGAAAACACCCGACTGGTCAATTAATTGTCAAGTTGTGATTGAGCAGCTCCCTCCAGATGGCAAGACGTTAGAGGAAGTCCTCCGATTTAGCCTCAACTGTGGTGCTTGTTGGCGTAGTTCTGCTTGCGGCTTCGCAGTCTTTGAAGTCGCAGCACCACCAAACGTTGAGCTCAATCCGTGTAAAATGTCCACGGAGGTGTATCCAACCATGCACATCCACGTGTTTGGTCTCCCCAGGCGCTCTCCAAGATCATAAATTTGATCACTATTACGCAATCATCCCAGCTAAAGTTACCGGGCGGTATCAAAATCAAATGACGCTTTCGCCTTTGTCAGCTCCAGGTCTCTCAGGAAGTGCTTTCGTGTGCACCAAAATGGGAGCTCCCGTTGGATACATCGGTAGTGGCTTCGATGGCTCGGCGAAGTACGAGCAGTATCGATCGTATGGATTCACACTACATGGGATCCCACCCGACTTGCCGTCCAGATTGCCACCCATTGACGAAGGTAGTAGTTCATACACATTCAGCGTTGAGTGCGAAAAGTATCGAGATCGGCGTGACAGCGATTCACCTCGTTTTGTTTGCATATCACATCACAAATCCACCAGTTTGCAATAGAATCGCTTAAAACTTGGACAGTAGTCAAATCGTCGAATCAAACTGCAATACAACTTAACCGTGAGTCCTGGTGGACGTCGATAACTGCGAACCGGTTCCAAAATGATGTCATACTTACTAGAGCTGCTGTGGTGCTTCAATTCAACAGTGAATTGCAGTTATATGGGAACTCTAGTTCCAAAAATTGTCGGAACCAAATTTTATTAACTAGAAGGGCTGTGGTTACATTGACATCCGAGTTCCTACACTTTCATACATACATATCACAATTTATAGATAAGGGGGTAGGGGATAGAGGAGAACAAAGAGATAGAGGAGATACGAAATGACTGAGTGAATATTCACACGGAAGATGTTGGGTATGAAAAATGTGCAAGGCAACTTACATATTGTTGGGCAAGATTTTCAAGAATTTCCAATCAAAATATGCTTTTAAGTATTGGGCTATACTCAACTAGTTTCGACATGAAATCTGGCTCAGTGGTTCGGAGTGGCAGCTCTAATCTGTTGTATGAGGGTTCAAGTCCCACAACGATTGAAGTTACGAAGCGGTTTCTTAATGGTTGAGATTCACCTGGCTCCCAACCAGGACTTACGCCCTCCAAACCACTCTTTCGATCTTTTGATCTTTGATCATAAGATTTTATAGGTGCTGTATCCATACCTTCTTTTATTCACATATCATAGGTTATTTTAAAGAGTTCATGCTGTATAGTGTATATTATTAGCTAGGTACAATTAAGAAGTCATCACGTCTATAAACTATAGTATAGACGAAATTTTCAACTGTAATGTCCGGCTCATGTGCAAAACGTACGTACGGATAAGTTATACACTACGCCTGCAAGTCACCGACGATCCTTCACATTTCTATTTATCCCAACATTCACGCAGTCAGGATAACCTTCTCTTCTCTTCTCTTGACTTTACGTAGCACTGCCGGAAAACGCTGTTTCGCTTAATTTGTTGATTTTGCTTAAGAATTCGATTGTGTGGTGGATAACACCCGTGTGGTGAGATCCTACCACGTGTGTTTGGATTAAGTAACATTCTGCGATCTTTCTGTTGGCGTGCACTAGTGGACGTACTATCCGCTCAAGCACTGCATAGATTGGTATATAAAGTACCACTAGACCCTCGTAGACCATAAAAATGACTACTACCATGTGGTCATTAAGGTTGTCTTGGGGTACTCTGAGTACAAGGAACAGTCGGTACCATCCAGAACACTCGCTGAGTTAGTATATATGTTGGGACCTAATCTCATACTCAAATCTTGATACTTTAAATCACTGAAAGTGATCAATATCTCATCCAACGGTTAAGCACACAGCTGTTGCATCTACTTGGTAAAGTGATGTCTACCTATGTGTAATGGCCGGTTGGTGGCCACCATGTGCAAGCGTACGTACGGATGAGTTGTACGCGACGCCTGCAAGTCACCGACAATCCTTACAACATAGGATAATCAACTTTAGGTAGCATTGTATTAAAAATGGCTGTTTCACTTAATCTGTTGATTTTACTAAAGAATTTGATTGTGTGATGGAAACAACTGCGTGTTGAGTACATTTACATGGTCTCCAAGGGTGTTGTTGTGTGCATCTCAGCGATGTATTCCGCCTTAGGTATGCGCACGTTTCTAAAATGCATTATTTGTGCTGATCTCTGAGCAGAGCACTCTGCTTCAGAGATTGCTGCGACACCGATTAGAAAAAATGAAATTTGGCATGGGTATTTTAATATCTAATGTACGCATCGAGGCTAATATTCTGCTAAAACTTCTTCCATGGTGGACAGGCGCACTTTCAACATCACGATCCGAAATCCGTTGCCGTTTAAAGCGAACGTTGGCGCTTCCTAATTTGCTGATGGCGTAACGGTGCTATCTACATAATTGCAAACAAGGCTGAGTTTTATGGCGATTTGTTCTCTATTGTGAGGCAAATCATTCTCATTTGTGCTCATAGATTCTCGGAAATCAATCTTTGTGGTTACATTCAATCTTTTCCGATGAGCAGAGCAGCACTCCCAGAGCTCACTGGCCATTCTAGCATAAGCGTAATGCTAATTCCTAGCTATGCATTCCTTCCCGGCACAAAAAATGTCATTTTGCAAAAGTTTGTGTGCATTAGTGTCCATTTGATCCTTCATATCTCTGAAGATAAAAACCTTCGAATAAACTCAAATCAGACTTGTAAGGTAATACTAATGCGGGGTGTCGCAGCATATTCCCGGCTGGGCGGCATAACCCTGTCGTAGTGACGCAAGCAACTTTGCACAATGCTCGCGTGCGCAATAAAATTCAGTGGCTGCACAGTCCAATCGACCAACCACGTCACTCTCTTGAGGCGTACATTACACGCACGTCGTACAACACGAAGCTTGCTCCCTGCTCGCTAAGTATAAGGCAGATAGAAAAGCTATTGACTGACAGCGTAATAACCACGTAGCGTACAATAATGGAGACATTTCAGAGCGGGGTGCACGTGTTTATTCCAGCAGCCCTTAATCGGCCCACTCACACACTTTACAGCATCTGTATGCGTGTACAGCCCACAAACCAAGAGTGGACTGTCAACCGCCGCTACTCACAATTCCTGCAATTACGAAGGGATCTTCAGCACAAGCTTGCCGCACACTGTGCCTCGTGTGCCAACTGTGCTAGTTTTAATCGTGCTATTATGAAGTTCCGGTTTCCGAGCAAATCGCTGATACGCACAAATTCAGTTGTACGTTACCGTGTCGCGGCTCTGCAGGACTTCCTTAAGCTTTTGGTAGGGCGCGTGTACAACGACATTTCCAAGTGTGGTGTATGCGGCTTAAGGACAAAAGACCTAATGCGGCCATTCCTTATTCGAGGAGCGCAGCCAATGAATGGCTCTATAATCTCAAAAATCAACAAGTCGCTTTCGCTCGAATCGTATGCCGTCGTGAACCAGCCAGTGATGCCAGTGCCTGAGCCGACTCCGCTCATTTCGCCTTCTTTACTTGGTAGAGAATTGTTCAGTGCAAGCAAGTCTTCTAGCAAGCCTATCTTTACACACAGTCAAAGCAAGTCGATCTTCTCGAGTAGCAAAGGATTGATGAGCTCTGCGTGCAGAAGTACAAGGTCAGATGATGCTTCTACTCAGCCAAACGAATCAGAAGACCCGATCATGGACTATTCGGACAGTGATGATGATGGATGTTTAAAGAGGTACGATGACGTACGCTGCTATGACGAGTGCATTCCTCTGGAGGAAGCGATGAAGCAAGTTGTCGTCCCCAGAGGTGTAAGTCTTACGTGCGAAGAAGTGGTCGTACGTTTGACGTCGATGTGGGCCGCTTACGACTTAAATGAGGCACTTACATCGCTACCACCTGAGCGGCTATCACAGCAAGCCACCTTTCCTATCGACGAGAAGGAGTATGCATTCTGAGTGTTAATGAAAACAAGTTCGACATTTCAAGATCATAAAGGGTGCAACCAACGCTGTGCAAATTAATTATAAAATAGTCAGTATAATACCAACATCTATCCGATCGGCTCTAATCCTGATCAATTATCAAAAGCGATGTCAAGTTTAAGTTAACACTTGACTCGACCATCCATATTATCCAAAGAGGCTGATTACCTTTTCGGGATCGGAGATACCAGTGGCCACCACAGAGACGCGCAATTTGCCCGCGAGCGAGTCGTCAAAAGTCGACCCAAAGATGATATTAGCATGCGGATCCTCGAGTTCCCGCGTCACACGCTCGGCAGCTTCGTCCACTTCAAAAAGCGTCAGGTCAGAGCCACCTGTAATATTTACGATCATTCCCTTCGCATCCTGTACGTTAGTCGATACATTATAAAATGATAGCTTAGGATAGTTCAAAATAAATAAAGAGCTTCTATCGATACCTTTATCGATATGTCACCCAGGAGAGGATTCGCCAGTGCAGCTTCGGCAGCTTGCAAAGCTCTACAGAACCATCCCAAACAAAAGAAAGCTGTGAGACTGACAAAAGTTGTTCGGATAAACGCACCGATTGTCTCCAGCTGCTTCGCCACTACCCATCATTGCGTTACCCATATTATGCATCACCTACATTTGTGACAACCGTACACATAGAATCATGATAAATTTTTCAGTTGTAGCATAAATTTGACGGCAGCGTACCGATTGAACATCGGCAAAGTCAAGATTGATGAGTCCAGGCATCACCATCAGATCAGAGATGTTTTTCACACCATCAAGAAGCACATTATCGGCCATTCTGATAACAATATATCCGCCAATTTCTAAAAATGCATTCGAGAGACAGTATACAAATCTAGCGCACCTGAATGCATCCATCAGCGAAGTGCGCTCGTTCGACATGTGAAACAAATTTTGGTTTGGAATCATGAGCATCGTATCGACACTGTCCTTAAGTTCAGCTAGACCTTGTGCGGCAAGCTTGGCGCGATTGTTCCCCTCAAAACGAAATGGCTGTGATGCCGGAAGTCGGTGCTATGAGAATAAATTTTTCAGCTACCATAATCCAATTTTGTGTTACCTTGGTGACTACTGCTACGGTGAGGATTCCAGCGTCAAGAGCTGCTTGAGCGATGACGGGTGCCGCACCTGTACCAGTTCCACCGCCCATTCCTGCAGTAACAAACATCTACGTTTGATAAGTGACCGCATTTACGTCTCGAAAAATAAATTACTTCACAAACCATGTTTGCACCCTGAACGCGCTCTAAAATCTCATCAATAGCAGCTTCCGCAGCCTCACGACTAATAATAATTCATTGGAGTTAACATATTACGTCAGCGTCATATTGACCCGTGTCATTTAATACATCGCAATCTCTTGCCCGACTTCAGGGTTGGCACCACACCCTAGTCCTCCAGTCAGTTCAGGGGCCATTTGAACTCGATTTTCGGTCAGCGTTGTGCGCAAATGCTGCGCATCCGTATTACAAACCAAAAATTCCACGCCTTGCAGACCACGTGCGATCATGTTGTTCACTATCAACCAGTCACCAGCGAATACATCACATTAAATACTATCGCTAGCATGCCAGTTCTATCATAAGCACCAGCATTTCCTCCTGCACCCCCAACACCAACGACCACAATTTTAGGAGCAAAGCTTGATAAGTCCGTCACGGGGTGGTCCTGTGTGAGCCATAAAGGCTGCATGGAGCTCATAACGGGTGGCGAGAATTTCTTTTCCACCATTAGCCGCTGGGTTTTACTTTCATCGTCTGACCCATCGGAATCTTTCCCAATATCCAATTTCAGCGTGTCGTCTTCGTCTTTGTCTTTATGTGCATTTTTAAATCCCTGTAATACACGTCCATTAGATGCTGAGTTAGGTTACTTTCTATCAATTTACAGAGTGATACCAAGCGCAATGCGGCAGCAGCGGCGGCAGTAGCTTCAGATGAAAATGCAAAACGTGAGGCATGATAACAACGCGCACGCAGCAGCGCCTTAGTGCGCAAAGTAAGCATTAGAATTGTTTAGTATGAGCAATGAATGAATGACTTGTGTTTTATACTGGGCTCGTAATTATCAGGCCGACTCTTAATCTTTTATATTCACTATAATTGAAGCTGCCGCAGCGTGCTCTTGCTTTCAGCTTCATGCTCCTCCACGTTGACCTTAATATACTCCAGCACCTCCGCCTCACTCAAATCCAGCTGAATGCCGTAATTTTGCTTTACAAACGTTCTAAATGTGTCAGCATCCGAACACAGAAGGCGTCCTGTGTCAGTCCAAATAATCACATCACTGACTATCACTTTTGAGGTAGTATGCATCCTGAAGCTTTAACAGTGCATGCATTAGTTTCAATAGCACAAACAATTCTAGTGTCTTGTGCCGAATCTTCTCACCCGTAAAGACGGACTAACTCAGTTGCATCATTTGTCCAGTGATCGGCCTTAGATGGCAACTTCGTTACTTGGCAATCGGGCAAGGTCACTGTTAACATGTCTACACATAGGCCCTTGTAAACATATATATCAAACCGATTTTGTTGTTGTTAAGAATGACCCACTGTACCAAGCAATCGATCACAGATAGCATACTCTTCGCTGTCGACTCGTCCAGCCAGTATGTATCGCACCATTTTGTCGAACGAAGGTAACAACTGATTGCGACACTTATAATAGCGCATTGAACGTTTCTGATGCTGCAAAATTTGGTTACCCCAACTTTTAGTGTTTCAGTACATTGTTCAAGTAGGGTAGCTTTAAGACTTTCAGTGGTACCGCGATAACGGGTCAGTGACCTTCTCCAACATTTCGGACATTTACAGCTGTGGAATCACTACACTTCTTACTGCACATCGGCCTCTGCGTGATCTCGCCGCCTCTTTGCTTCTTCACCAACTCGTTTGAACTTCGTGGATTCTGTCTTGTTCATGCCGCGATACTTTTGCTTGTCTAAGCGGGACATTTGTGACGGATTTCGGCACCCATTGCCCCCTTCCCAAAATCGTGTGATCGATTTCTTTGATCCCACGTCATTTCCACATGAACACACTTTATTTGAACTTGACTGTTCCTTCGAACACAGGCCACAAATCATTCGACTGGCGAACTTGCCCAAGTTAGCTTCCGGACAATCGCTTGAGTCGTGGCATACATCGCATGGAAAGGCCTTACCACAGCACTGGAATCGGAGCCAGC